ACGATATAAAATATGCATGTCAAGACTAAATAATTTCTCATAAGCTTCTGTTTTAATATAATATAATTAATCACTGAAGAAAATACTAACTCCGATCAAACTATAGTATTAATTTTTTGACAAACTATTTAAATCAAATGATCAACAGTGAACGCGCTCGGAGCGAATTTTGGAAACTTCATAAAATATTTACAGAGGAAGCATGAACGAACGAATAAAGATCACCCAGCACGGCGTGCGAGAAAGAAGTTTTTTCTTTGCAGTGACGTAATTTTTTCGCCGCCATGTGAATAAAACGGAATGAAACCTTTGTGTGAATGAAAGAACCGATTAAAAAATGACGTCATCAACAATTATTTTTTTTCTCAAATGCAATTACAAATACACGGTTGCCGTGCTGGGTGATCTTGTTAGTTGGTTCATGCAGAGGAAGTATATTATTTGGTAGGGACAAAATGTATTTAACAAAGCGTGATTGAATTTGACCATGCTCTCAGAATAACCATCCTATAAAGTCAAATTGAAAAAAATTTTTAGGAATTTTGAATCGTTTGTTTATATTTTTCTACATAATAGTATCTTAAAAGAGAGCCACACTGAGTTGTCAATAACACCTTGGGCCGTATGCATAAAAACTAAGCAATTACTTTTTCTCAGATTTTCATACCTTTCACTTAAATTTATTTGAAAAAATTTAGTGAAAGGTCTGAAATTTTAAGAAAAAGTATTTGCTTAGGTTTTATGCATACGGCCCCTTGTTTAATACACCCACGATACAAATATTTAAAGGATAAACCGCTTGCTCAATTCGTCGGCCATCATTTGTTTTTTGAAGTTTGTCTATTTTATAAAATTGAAATTTTGAGAGCAACTCAAATGCCAAATAAAAGTAAAACAAAAAACAAATATATGAAAATATTGAAATTTTCATTTATTTGAGACTGAAAATAAGAATGTATTTGTGAGATTGGAAATTTGAAAACATTTTTGTAATGTTAACTTTAAAAATGTTCAGGCTGCCTCTCAGCGGTTTTACCTTCAGATTTTTGTATCATGAATACACCTTGGTCGAGATATCACGAACAAGTTTTCCTTTATTATTTTTACTTTAAATCCTTAAATATGTATCTTGATTTTTTTCTGTAGAATACGTATTCATTTTTTTTAATGATTTTAAAAAAGGGAGGACAGTCGGATCTACGTAACCAGAACGACCTGAATGCGCATTGAAGTCGGTTGTATTTTTTGCTTAAAATTACTTGTTATTATTGAGATACAGTTTCGCTACTATTTAGAGATTTCTCGACATACTTTTTCATATTACTGTTATTTATTATTTTTCTTATTAGTCTTTTATATATTTGGACTTACTGTGGGTGCTTTAAGATTCATTTTGTAAATATGTATGCACATATAAAAAATTGCGATATTTTATTTTAAATTATGAATTTTATTCGTGCAATTTTTTATGTTTAATAGTTTTGAGAACATTTTTTGGTTCTGTTGTATTCTTTTATTGCATGCCTTAAACTTTTTTACTTTAAGTTATAATGTTGAAGATATGCCTTCTGCCTTTGTCAAGCACTTTATCTAGGTGCGAGAAATTTAGGATATGCGCGTAAGAGCATAGAGTATGTATACGGCTGTGCTGCCGCGATTCTCCAACATCTTGTCAAAGGAGAAAACATAGCATTTTCGTAGATTTCACGAAAAATCAGACTACGATGAATTCTATGATAGCCTTGATTAGTTCGTGCGATTATGACTTATGGATCGATTATGGATGGGAACGGAACCTCAGTTGGGTTGCCGATGGACAGCGCCACTGAAATGAAAATGTTTTTTATTATGAATAGCAATAATTAAGTTTCATAAAGTTCAAGGTGGTACTATTTAAAAAAAATTGAAAAAAGAAATAAAGTATCTCAATCAAAATTTCCCGGCAGCCACAAAAATGCAATTGCCAATATAGCAACTTAGTTGCCAGCTTTCAGTTGCTAGTTGCCATCGGTAATACCATTTCAGCCACTGGCCAACCAACTGAAGTTCGGTTGTCCTCCGTAATAGACCCATAAAATCGGAATCGAATATGCATGCACGTTCTGCAGAACTATAAATATTTTGTAAATGTGTGCTCTGTCCGCTAACGAATTCCAGCATGTGTGAAATATCGTATGTGAAGCCTCCGGCTGACTTAACGATTGTCAAAGGCATGCCAGAAGATGTTTCATCATATGTTTTCGGCCATCGTCTTCTTCGAGTAAGTTCATCGATACCAAAAACTTTACAACCTTTATGTGCCAGCAGCCCTTAGGGGTTTTGCCAATGACATGGTACTGTTGCACTGTTAATAACCAAATTTAGCCGCAGTTGCATTCACACGTGATATAATAGCTAGTGTCGGCATGCTGTGGGAATGCCCATGAGATGGCGTTTGTTCAGCTATCGAAATCATTACACCGACGGCGGTGGGCAGTTCTGCTGGAACATATTTACCACACCAGTGGTTGCGGCGTTTTGTTCTGCAACAATAGCCTGCAATGATGACATGTCATATAATGTCGACGAACAAAGATATACAATTTAAAATGATTAACCTTATTCCCGGCCGATTTGGGAGATCACCGTTGGTCACGACCAGAACGCATTTACCAAGAGGAAAAACCGCAGGGATTGCAGTAGTTCTCGCAATCACCGTTGATGATGCTGTGCTTGTAATCAACAGGCTAAAAAGACAGAAAATTGAATTAATGAAATGTTATACATATCAAATAAATAAATTTCAATAATTTGTTTACCATTTCACAAACCGAATTACCAAGAAATAGAAACTCACCGCGATGCGATACAGAAATAAAAACCAATAGGGCTGCATTTTCTTGGTAAACAACACAAGCGCTCAGAGCAATCTGATCCGCAAAATTATTTTGTGAAAAATAATAGTTAAAAAGAGTTTTTGCACATGATTATCACTTTAACTCATAAGTGCAAATTATTGTGATTATTTTTAGTTGAATATAATTGTATTACCTTGGACTTTTTTTAAATGTTTTCTAATATTCATTCTTTTGAGACGAAAAAGCAACCATGCACTAAATTTTTTGTGGGGAAATTTGGTCCCCATAAAGGACTTTCACCACGAAACAGCTACAAAAACAAAAACCTTTTCTACTGGTATACTGTGCTGTTGTCGCGGCTGAACAACTACGACTGAAGGTAGGATTGCTTGTGGTTAGTTACAAAATAATACAAGAAATCACCAATCAGAAGTAGAAAGTCTGAGATCCGAGTGAGGGTTGCGCAGCTACAACTGAATAGAGGGATTGCTTGTGTTTAGTTACAAAACAGGCAAGACGGCGCGTGCTGCTGTAGCCTGTGCGGCGTCGGCATTTTCAGCGTGGGTGCCCGTCGTCATGCTGGCTGTGGCCGTTTACCTTGCGGCTGCGTGAGCGGCGATCGCGTGTACCGACAGTAGCGCGTGAGTGCCGCGTACATCGCGGCGGCGTCGGCGGCTTCGGCGCATGCGCGGCAAGCATCCCATGGGCCTATGGTCGGCCCCACGCCCAGCATCTGGGTCCGCGGTCGCTTCGAGTTTTCCTGGGCTACGCGTTCGCGCAAGCGCTTCACACTCTTCTCCATTTTGCTTAACTCTTCCATGTTCATCGTTGATTGGTTTTCACCTTTTGTAAAATTCTTTCGTTTATTCACGTGTGGCTGGTTCGCTAGTTGACGATCGAATGACGGTCTCCACTGATGCGACGGTCTTGCTAACTTTATTTATTTTATTTCAAATTCCCTTCCCTTTTTTTCTTTTGGAGTAAAAACTTAATTGAATTTCTGTTATGGTTTTCTCCCCCTTTTCCGTGTTGCTAAGTTGTTGTGTTTCGGCCGTCTTGTACGCCTTCAGTTCGGCAAGGTTCGCCGTTCTTGTCCTCCCGTCGTCGGTCTTTCGTAGCTCCACGATTACCGGGGAAACGTATCGGAGTATCTGGTTGGGGGCCGGCATATGTTGGGAGTAGTTTTGCCGCAAAACCCTCTGCTGCCTTAGATAGATGGTGTTCTTTGGCGAGGACCAGCTCGCCGATTTTTGGGTTCCACTCCCGGCGACGCAGGTTATAGTGGCGCGCTTGGTCGATCGCGGCACGTTCCATATTTTGTCTGACGATCCTCAGCGCTTCCTGCATCCTTGTGGACTTTTCCTCGGCTGTCGTCGCCTGTTCCGACATTTATCTCATCGAAGAGTGCTCCTGGTAGTCGTGGTTCCCGTCCTTGCACTAGGAACGCTGGGCAGTATCCTGTGGAGGCTGTGACGCTCGTATTTACGCCGAGTGTTATTTCTGGGAAGAGGTCATCCCACCGCCTATGTTGTGTCTTCGTAAGCTGTGCGATAATTCGTTTTACAGTGCGGTTGGCGCGTTCCGTCGGGTTTTCTTGGGGTGTGTACGGGGCCGTAAATTGTTGGCGCACCCACACCTCCTGGAGGTAGATAGATAGAATGTTAGAGGCTGTGCACTGCGACCTTAGGTCTATTGTGCCCCTCCTGGAGGTAACGCTGCCAGAGCGTGCTAGTAAATTGTACACCATTGTCCGAGATGAAGACCTTGGGTACACCAAATCGGGCGAGGATACGCTCCCTAAACGCGCGGCGAAGTCCTTCCGCTGTGGCCTGTCTCATGGGGACCTACTCGACCCACTTGCTAAATCCATCGAAAAACACAAGTAGCATGGTGTTCCCATGCGTGGACCGTGGTAGGGGTCCGATGAAGTCGGCACACACCGTGGCGAAAGGTTCTTGTGCGACCTGCGAGAGCATCTTGCCGGCTGATTTGTGTTGTGCCTCCTTATACTTCTGGCAGGACTCACATTGACGGACGTACCGGCTGATGTCGCGAAACATTCCTGGCCAATAATACCAATTGGCAATCCGTGCTACTGTTCGGCGAATACCCATGTGTCCCGCGCTTGGTATGTCATGGCTCTCCCTCAGTACTCGTTGACGGAAGGGGTTGGGCACACACAGTTTACAGGGGACTGCCTCTTCGTCGTGGGATCGACACGGGATATGACGGTAGAGCTGCCCCTCCTGTGTCATGTAATCGGCGTATTTCTCCGGGTTGGTACGCACTTCATCGACCCGTCTGTGCCACCACTTGCATCGTGGTTCCGCCACTGTTGTTCGTAGTAGCGTTTCTAGGGGTGTCGAGACAGTGCGTCCGCGACTAAGTTCAGTTTTCCTTTGCGGTACTCGATGTTGCAACTCCAGGGCCCATCGCGCTATGCGACCGGAGGGGCTTTCGATCGAATTTAACCATTTTAGTGACATGTGGTCGGTTATGACGTTGAATCGGTATCCTTCCAGATAGGGCCTCATTTTGCGTATTCCCCGGACTATGGCTAAGCATTTCTTTTCCGTGGCCGAATAATTGTTCTCTGCCTTATTAAGCTACCGACTTGCGTATGCGATTACTCGTTCACCGCCTTCTAACTCCTGTGTGAGTACTGCCCCTAGACCGAAATTGCTCGCGTCCGTCTGCAAGGTGAATTTCTTGCTGAAGTCTGGGCACGCGAGGATGGGGGCCTCGGTGAGTTTTCTTTTGATCACGTCGAACGCTTCCTGTTGTTCAGTTCCGCACCTCCAGTGTTTGCCCTTCTTCAGGAGGACGGTGAGTGGTTGGCTTAGCGTAGCGAAGTCGGGTACGAACCGACGATACCAGAAAGCTATCCCGAGCTATTGGCTATCACGTTGGTCGGTGGTTTTAGTTCCTTGATGGCGGCGACTTTGTCGGGGTCGGTGTGTATGCCCTTGTCACTAATGACGTGGCCCAAGTACCGGAGATCCCTTTTAAAAAAGTCGCATTTCTCGGGGTTAATTCGCAGTTTGGCCCGCTGTAGTCGTCGGAGTACCTCTCGCAAGTGTTTCACGTGTTCGTCGAAGGTGGAGCCTATGACGATTATGTCGTCGAGGTAGGCAAACGCGTAGGGTACGGTGAAGGCTGTGTACGTGCGGCTTTTGGTCTCCAGAGGTATCTGGCTCCAGAGGTGCCTTTCGCAGTTTGTCCAATATGTGCTGTATCCTCGGCAAGGGGTATGCGTCCGGTACTGACCGTGCATTGAGTTGACGGTAGTCCGCGCATAGGCGCCACTTGCCGTTCTTCTTCCGGGCTAGTACGATCGGTGCACTGTGCGGACTGCGAGACGGCTCGATACATCCTTTCGTGAGTAGCTCATCGATTTCCGCGTCGATCACAGATTGCATTGCAGGGTTGCGCGGTTTGATGGGGCGTTCGTCAATCATGATGGTCCCGTGCTCTCCTACTGTGGGTACTCCGCTCATGGTCTCGAATTTTTGCAGTTCTTCGGCTAGAAAGTCGCGTATGCGGGCTGCCTCATCTTCGTGGTTGGGGTCCTCGTGTTCTATTCTGTTGACCCTCTCCCTTGCGGACCGCCGTGTTGTACGGCGCCTCCCTTTTCTGCTGCTTGGTGGGCGATTGTTCGTTCTGGCGGGTGATTCGGGGTCCACGGTGCTTGGTGTTGGCTCGCTTGGTGTCGTCGACGTGGGTTGTATAGGTGGCTCCGTCTATACGACGCGGTGTCCGCCGCAGGACACCGTAGCTCCCATTCCCCCTAGTGTGTCCAGGCCCAAAATGATGTCGTCAATTGCTCCAGGGATGACATGCAGAACGGCGTTGTGGATCGTTTGCCCAAGGCGGACTACAGTCCTCACGGCCTCGGATATTTGGTTCCTGGTACCATCGGCCATAAGGATTCCTATGGCCACAGTTATCTTTTTGCCTCTCCCCAAGCTAACCAATTGCTCCGCCACGCTGGTGGACACGAAACTTCTCGAGGCACATGTGTCGATGAGGGCGTAGAGGCGGCCGCGTTCCTGGCTCAAAATTATTGGTTGTCCGGCGCTGTACTTGGGGGCTTCATCGCGCCGGTCCCCTGCTGAAGCCCTCTCTCGTTTCCCTGACGCATCCGGCAGCACTCTATTGTCCGTATGTCGGCCCGGCCGCACTCCCAACAGAACAGCTTCCGTGGGTTACGGCACCTTCGGGCGAAGTGTCTCTCTTGACCACACCTCCTGCATGTGTTGCCGCTATGAAAAGTTTGAGTCGCGGCTCTCGAAGGAGGTGGGGTCCTCGCGGCGGTATTATGCGGTGCTTCTCGATGATGCTGTAGATGCCTGTCTCGGTTGGGGTGGTGACATAATGGGGTCGTCACCAACGTGTCTCGCTATTTCTCGTCGGGCGGTTTCTGGGGCCCGCCGATGGCTTTCGTAGATGCTTTCATAGTCTTTTGCGAGTGAGAGGAGTTCCGTCAAAGTGTTATATTCTCGCCGTTTGATGTAAAGCAAGTACTCCGGGTGGCTATTTCGAAAAATCCTTTCCAGCCG